ACATGAACTATTATGATTGGGAAATGACTCGTTAGTCACACCTCTAGCATGCTGTTTAAGTTAGTCTTTAGTTATTTAGTAGATCTCTATTCCATTGTCGTTTTAGTCTGCGAGGAGGGTTTGAGGGTAAAGTATTTGTTGACATTTTAATAATTATNAGTATTTGTTGACATTTTATTAATTAGCGGGTTTCTATGTAATAATAAATTTTGATGAAATCGTTTGTAGTACATTACTGCAAGTTCTTTTACGTTTTGTATTTGTAGGTCTTTATGTAAATTTACGTTTGTTATATACCATGGGCATTTGGTAATAAGTCTGAGTGCTATTGATTGAAACGATTGAATTGGCCTTATATTTGATGGTTTTGCAGGACCCCAGATTTGGATTCCATAAGACCAAACTGGACGTATTATAGATTTGTACAGTAAAAGTTTTGTTTTGAGTTGGAGTTTTGAAGTAAGGAGAGGACGTAGAAGGTGTAGTCTGTTTCTTGCACTTTTTCTTTTTTCTTTTAGATGGGGGCCCCACGTCAATCGTTTGTCAAGTGTAATTCCTAGGTATTTGATCTCTTCTTTTATAGGTATGGGAATATTGTTCATAATAATTTGAGGACATTCTTGTGGTTTGAAATTTAGAGTGAAGGTGATTTGAGCAGATTTATCTTCATTGATTTTTACTCGCCATTTTTTTGCCCATAAGTCAATAAGGTTGGCATGATATTGTAGTGAAAGACTGGCTTCGATTGGATCATTATTAATTGATAGTACAGCTGTATCGTCTGCGTATGTGGCTAAAATTGTTTTATCCGTTTGAGGGATATCGGCAGTGAATGCATTATAAAGGTCTGGGGATAAATCACTTCCTTGAGGTACACCTGCATTTATTTTTTGGTATGATGAGAATTCATTTCCTTGGCGAACGACAAAGTGTCTGTTTTCCAAATATGATTTTATTATGAGAAAATATGGAGCTGGTAAATAGTGTTTTAATTTGAATAGTAATCCTTCGTGCCAGACCCTATCGAAGGCCTGTGCTACATCCAAAAATAGACCGGTACAATAATGTTTATTTTCAAGTGTTGTTGCAATTTCATCAGTTAATCGGTGTATTTGATGTATTGTTGAATGTCTGTTACGAAACCCAAACTGACTATCTGGTACAATATTATGTGATGATAGAATAGGACGTAGTCTTCTGAGTAATATTTTTTCAAAAAGTTTACCTAATACTGGTAATAAACTTATTGGTCTGTAAGACGTAGAAAGATGTTTTGGTTTGTTTGGCTTTGGTATTAAAATAATAGTTGCAAATTTCCAGATTATCGGAAAATATGATAGTCTTAGCATCGCATTGTAAATGTAGGTTAACAAAATCATGGTTTTTTGTGATACATTTTTTAGAATTTTATTGGTAATTAGATCATAACCGGGTGCTTTCCCTGAAGGAAGTTTTTTTATTAAATATTCGACTTCGCCTGGAGTTGTATATTTGGCTGGTAAAGCCATTGGTAGTGGACATGTTAAGAAGGATTTTATTTCTTCATTGAAATTATTGTCAGAGTATAAATTAGTATTTGGAATGAATGTTTTTGCCAATTGTTCCGCAAAAATGTTGGCTTTGTCTTGGTCCGTTATAGCTAAGGTGCCATTTTCTTGACGAATTGGTGGAATATTTTCTTTTTTTTTTGTGAGCCTTTTAGTTGCTCTCCAGAGAGAACCATTGTTTTGATTCAAAGAGTTTAGGTATAGTTTATACTGATCTGCTTTGTAGACAGATAGTTTCTTTTTTAAAGCATTTGTTAGTCTATTGAGATACTGTTTGTGGCTTGGTAGTCTAGTATTATGCCATTTAGTTCTGGCTCGCCTTTTTTCAATAATTAATTTTTGAATAGTTAAAGGTAATTTTTCCTGGTAATTAGTTAACTGATAGTTGGAGTGTTTTGATGAAATAGTAACTGCTTGCTGAATAATTTGTGTGATGGAGTGGGCTGCTGCATCTATATCTTCTTGAGATTTAAGAGGTATTTTTAAAGTAATTTTGCTATCTAGATTTTGTTTGAAACTATCCCAATTTACAGGCCCGTATGAAAGAGATGGCCTTGTGTTTAATAATGGTTTTTCTTTTATAAAAAGTACTACTGGTGAATGATCACTTGATAAATCAGATACATTTTGAATACTTGTATGTTAACAAAAGTTATGAGCAAAAAAAGTTGTTTTATGGTACCTTATTCATAAACATTTTTTATACCCCCCCCCCCATTATACATTTCAAAATACGCCACTGGTTACATACATGTATGTATTGTCATTTATCATTTATTCAGTTATAAAATACTTCTTTGATCATTCCTTATACCTTATAAGCGTGTCAAATCTTTTTTTCAAATAGCAACATACTTAATTAATAAGCTTAAAAAATTGAAAATGATTACTATAATAAATTAATAGTCAATATCATCTCTTGGATCAGTACTTAGAAAGTTATTCTCATCTTTATATCTATTGTGAGAGGAAGAGTACGACCGGTAAATAACTAGTGATAAAATTAGCAGCACCCACGCCTCACTCCAGTCAATACTTAAAATTGTCAATAACTTCTGAAATATCGAATAAGATTCTGAACAGATTTTAAGTACACAATGACTCTGTCTCAAAATTATAACTTTAAAAACATCATATATTGTATTAAAATATTACAAAAAAAAAAAAATGTTACCAATAAAATAGTTATAAAAGTTTCCCAAAAGAAACGTCTAATTTTGATGATAGATATTCATTTTGACAAAAACGACAAACACTATATAAGACTATCTAAGACAATGAAAACTACTAACTTTTCCCTTTTGCACGTCATATTTTTATATGAATATGACGTGCAGTCATATTAGTCGCTATGAGTAATGTGTTACTTAATGGAAAACTTACTATTCTTAGAGGCTCCTTTATTTTTGAAGAACTTTCTGGTACCTACAGAAAAAATCATTTTTAGAAATTTTGATATTTTAAAGAAATGTGAGTAAAGATTATTGTCAAGTACATTTATACATCTAAATTCAGAAATAAAAAGTGATAAATTATCAATTTAAAAAAAAACAACAGTGAAATTAAATTAATAGAAGTCACTTAAAACAAAATCCGCAAAGATTATTTATTTTACGGAAGTTAGTTATTTTAACTCATTAATTTTTATTAATACTTTAAAGTGAAAAGATCAGTCGTTATTTAAAAACTAGTTTTTTGTAATATTATAAAATATTATTTAGGTAATTTGTTTTCGTATTAAACAAATTATTTAAAAAATTACCACTAATAATGTTAGATTTTATTATTATTATATTATACCTTCGATGCAAAGCTGACGAAGCGTTGGTATTGTGATGTTGTATTTTTTTATGTCTGGACATTAAAATTCTCAGTTCACACTAGATCGATTTTAATCTTTTTAAAACTAAATTACTTTTAATAAATAACACCTCAAAATAACCTAATTTTAATCTAGTTAGATCTATATGCAAATTCAAAAAATTCCCCTCAATTATAGAAATTTAAAAAATATCAAAAAATTATTTTACCGTAAAAAATGACATTTTCATTTTAAAATTTCTATAACTTTTTTTAAACAGTAAAATTTATAAAAAGAAATCGTGAAATTACAAGTATACAAATTTGACAGTCAAAAAAAATGTTATTTTGACTTCATCTAGCTAAAAATAAATTATTTTTATAAAAATGTATTAATTTACATACTAATCTATCTTCCTCTGTTTTAATTGAATCCTGAAATAATTTTATTTAATGAAATTACAAGTATACAAATTTGACAGTCAAAAAAAAAATTATATTGACTTCACCCTTGCTAAAAATAAATTATTTTTATAAAAATGTATTAATTTACATACTAATCTATCTTCCTCTGTTTTAATTGAATCCTGAAATAATTTTATTTAATGAAATTACAAGTATACAAATTTGACAGTCAAAAAAAATTTTATTTTGACTTCATCCTAGCTAAAAATAAATTATTTTTATAAAAATGTATTAATTTACATACTAATCTATCTTCCTCTGTTTTAATTGAATCCTGAAATAATTTTATTTAATGAAATTACAAGTATACAAATTTGACAGTCAAAAAAAAAATTATATTGATTTCACCCTTGCTAAAAATAAATTATTTTTATAAAAATGTATTAATTTACATACTAATCTATCTTCCTCTGTTTTAAATGAATCCTGAAATAATTTTACTTAATTAATTAAAAAATAATACGGCTTACAATATTTAAATTATCTTATATGAAATTTTCTGCTGATTCTAAATCTAGCTTTAGATTTGTTCTATCACAAATAGTTTCTTAGATAATGTCTTATTAGTAATTAAGCAATACTTTCTTCACGAATGAAATTTATAAAAAAATATGAAAAAAATTGTTTTTCTTGAAACTATCCAAATTGTTTTAATTATGTTATGAAATAGTTGTGCGAAAATTTAACTACTGCGACAAGTGTATCCGTTTTTTAGCCTTTTAAACTTTATTATAGCTTTATAACTTATTTAAAATTTGATCATTATATACTAAAAATTCTAGCTGAAATTTTTACTATAACTTTTTTTGGTCGAACTTCTGCTAATAAATTTATTATATTTATAATCTCGGATTTTTGCTGTTCTACGCAAAACTCACGATTTTTTTATCTACCTGTATGTAGTGATCAAACTTTCCTTGTACTTATAGTTGTTCAATTATAGTGGTAATTAAAAATTTAGTTAGCTTTATAAATTTATTTATTATACTTCCTTTAGATAATGTATTTAAACACTATCTTAACAGCAAGTAAAACGGTAAATTTTATCGTTTTACTGTTGGTGTTATATTTTAATATAGTTTTCTAACAGATTAAAGCCTTGGGTCTAAAGAAATTAGGTTACTTTTTTTTAATATGATATATTATACCACATATATAATTGGAATTTTTTTAGCTCAAGTAAACTGATTGTTAACTTAGTAACAACAGCTTGTAGTTATAATTAGGAAAATTATCTAAAATATTGCTCGTGGTAACATATTTATGTTTATTCATTAGTCATTAATATACATGGCTAAGACAGTTTAATAGTAAATACATAACAACTGTTTGATATAATGTCATCGTCATCGTTACAAAAAATAATGCTATATAAAGAAATGTGTTGTACTATTTGATCAGCTTTAATAATCATATACTGGCATTATTAGATTCATAATTGTAAAAATGTATAGTTTTATTTACGTATTCATACGAACACTAAAATAGAATAATTTTCAATTTTTAATAATTTATATACCTGTGACACACTTGATTCAGCCATCTAAACATATTAAAATAATGTTACATTAATTATAGAAACCATAAGTAAATCATTAATATACAAAAATCATTCAGGATAGCGAAAAATGATTTTTATAACTTCAGTTTATTTTTTTTTAAATTAATGCTCACCCTAACAGTAACTATTTAGATCGCATTAGAAATTTAATACTGTAAAAATAAAAAGTATGAACCTTTTTGTGTCTTTGTTTGTTATGTGTCGTCTCTAAATTTGAATTTTATTTCAAGAACCCCAAAATTTATTTAGATTATTGCATCACTGTATAGCAAATAATAACTTAAATCACATAATATTACAAAGTCACACAAACAAAAAACATTTTTTCGGGTCTGAAAGTCGGACTATGTATACTATATGTTTTTGGGATCGATGAATACAAACCGAGGTCCGAAAAACTTCAGCATGTCAGAGTTTCGACATAATCTTCAAAAACCCAATCAAACCAATACGTAATTTGGATAAATATTTTTCATTAGTTTTTTTCAATATCAAAATCTGACGTACTGGAGCATTTGCAACTACACATTTGGGTTCAGAAACGCAAAAATCATATAGTAAACATGTTGTGACCTTTAGAACCAAAAAAATATTTTTTTGCGCGGCGGCTGTGTAAAATATAAAATAATTGATAAGAAAAAATTGGGTATTTCATACTTCAATAACGTAAACTTTGATATTTATATAGAATAATTTCTTTAAAATTCAAAATATTATCCAAACTTCAACAATTTTAATATTTAAAAAATCGTACATTATCTTGTGTGTCAACGACATTTTCATTTAACCATTTAATGAAATCTTCTAAATTTTTTTGACTTTCTGCAAAAATGGTATAAATAAAAAATTGTTTTTACATCTTATGTTTTTAAATGTTTAGCCATACCATTATTAACTGCGTTACACCTAATTGACCTATTTCTAAAATAGAAATGGTTTTTATCTTTTGTAGTCACCTATAATATAAAATGTAAAATATAGGAATTCAGCAAAGTGGAAATGAAGCATTTTTTAGTTAAGAGTAAACGTCACATATAGAAAATAATTGTACTATAATATAGTATAACTGAACATATTATGATCAGCTTTAATAATTATATACATATTAAATTCATAATTAATATAAAAAATATAGTTTTATTTTTAAGTGGACTCGAATATATTATTATTGTCAACTATTTAGAATTAATATAACTGTGGCAGAGTTAATTCATCCGCCTAAAATATATAGTAAAATGACTATATTAATTATAAAACTAACTGGTAATAATTTATATATAGTGTTCAGTAAAAAAAAACACGGGTTTCTATTTTTCTCATTGCTTATAACAATTGACCTGTTTCGTTACTGAACATTCTCTGTATAAAAATTATTCACGATACAGAAAAATAATTTTTATCACGGATTCATTTTTATTTACTATCATAAATCAAATTTTTAGAATGTTTAACTATAACTATATAACTTTTTTTAATTAATTCTCGATTTTATTGTTATTTTATTTTTATAGTAAAATACTTAAAATTAATTTTATTTTGACTTAATCCCAGCTAAAAATGAATTATATTTAAAAAACTTATTTATTTACGTACTGATCTATTTTCATCTGTTCTAGTGGAGTCCTGAAATTATTTTATTTTATAATTAAAAATAACATAAGTAGTATACCATATTAGAATAATATTTTTCAGAATTATTTATATGAAAATAATTATTTAGCAAATCAATAAATGAAAAATTAAGTATCGTAAGATAATAGGTAATAACATATTATTTATACTAAACATGAATTTAATTTATTGATGTACCTATAGCTAAAAGAATCAAAATTAGTTCATTAAAATTATCGGGAATATCATTTAGGTTAAGTTAAATTTGTTTTCAATTAAAACTTAAAATTTAGTAAAAATGACAAAATACCTCGTCAATAAATTCAAAATCCGAACTTTTAGAACTCTATGTTCAGAAAGTTAGACGGAAGTTTCATCTACTTTTCCTAATTTTATATCAATGTGGGGGGGTTGTATAGACTTAGTGAACCCTTCCAGTATTACTATACGGCACTGTTCCTCTTTGGTATTAATATAATAACAAAGTTGACTTATCTTTATTGTAGTAAATCAAAATGTACGAAACTTTTTACTATTTACACTAATTACACCAGTAGATTGATCAATTAATTTTCTTAATAATGTATAGTTTTATTTACTATTTTAGGCGAACACAAATGTATTATAACTATCAATTTTTTATAATTTATATACCCGTGGCAGAGTATAAAAGTGAAGTTCATTTAATGTTCAGTATTGTGGAGTTGAAGTATTTTTATGGATTAGTATTGATTGAAATTTTACAGCGATAAAATACTATCATAAAACGCTTCGACGCATGTTTGAAGTATATTAACTTTAGAGGTTGATTAGTCACAGATATTACTTTTATACACAGATATACTTTTATAAATCATACGTAACATTAAACAAGCTTTAATTTTAAATTATTTAAGCATTACGTTTCATTGCAAAATATTACAAAATGATTAATTCCTAATTGCAATTTTATCATTCCTAAAAATCGTAACTCTTTTATAATTTATCTAATTATTCAGTAAGGATGAAAACACGCATTTCAAATTGTTAGAATGATAGGTATGGACATACCTACCCGCTGGCAAATAGTAAATATCCCCCTTTAAACCTCCAACCAAAAAAAAAAACCTTATCAACAGAGTAATATACCCAAAGGTGAAGTTAATATTTAGGAACCTCTATGGCATCGGGCCCACCATATAACCTTATCACAGTGCCGTGCTCTGCTAAAGTTAACCTTTTTTTGACTTCATGTGGAATAAATTTACCACAAGAAAGGGATATCTTATGAAAATCAGGGGTCCCATTAAGTAAAACTTGTGAAAACAACGAAAAACCATAGAAAAATATATCAGTTAAATTTTAGGCTGGTTAGAGTTTTAAAAGCAATTTTGTAATAAATTTGATTTCAAAAATTATTAATCTTACAAATTCGAAAAAAAAAATAATTTAAGTCAATTATCTTATGAGTTATTTAAAAAATGTTTGAAAATCCGAAATAATTTCGGTTCCTAGCCTTGGTAGTCATTATGCCTATTCTTTTAATAACTAAAAATTAACTAATTAATATTAAATGAGTTTACTAGTTTTCCCAATTTTTCCGAACTCTAAAATATTTAAAACATGCAATGGCTTTATCAATTTTTTGATGAATGATGAATTATGAATGATCCATAAAAATATACTGAGTAATTATTTTTGTTAATATTTGTATGAACCATAATAAATTTTAAGTATATTATAAGAAAAACTATTTCCAAAGGTAATTCTTGTGATATATTTTGTATCTAACTTAAATGAAAACCTATAATTATAATTGTTTTATTTTTAAATTAATAATTTAATAATATTTGAATTTTTAAAGTTACCTGAGACTGAGTTGAATTTAGTGCACTTGTTACCAATAAATAATGTGAACAAAATATAATAATATAAATGTTTTTTGAATTCATATTGATAGATTCAACTTGTATGATTCTTAAAATTATCACTAAAGAAATTATTTTTTCCTTTTTAAGGAAAATTTTTTGTTCAAAAACTTTATGCAACTAATCACACACATTTATTTTTACAATAATTGTCATTATTAGCAAATATTGAATCAAGATACTTGCTCACTGTTTAATATCTTTTGAGGCAATCTATATAATTAAAATGTTATTTTTGTAATAATAGTTTATGATTTTTCATTTAATTCTGCGAATAAACCATAAATCTTTTTTTTTTTAATTATTGTGTACATTCTAATTCGTAAATAATTTTTATTCAAGTTTTTGTATCTCACAATGTTATAAACTATTAAATTCAAACAAAATTTAAATTATAACTAAATATTAAAGATTTAAAATAAGTAAATATTGGGTCAATCCATGTCAAATCATCCAGAAGTGGTTGCACGACCACCTCATATTTTTCTGAAATTTTCAGGGTTTATTCATTATGCTATATTTAGATTAAAACAATTTTTTTTTTTTTATGATCTTCCCATTTTTATAGCTATTTCAATGTAAAAAAACCCAGCCCAGGGGAGTCGCGGCACAGTGGTGCCGTGGTATAGTTGGATCAAGTATAATGATATCTGACAGTGATTAAAATCACTATCAAAAATAAACGCTTCGATGCAAATCTTTAGATAGTGTTTAATTTTAAAAAAATTGGTGTTTTATTCCAAAAGCTACTTGATCTGCTGGTTCNAATTGGTGTATTATTCCAAAAGCTACATGATCTGCTAGTCCCTTATTAATATCTTGGTAAGATAAAGTATGTCGAATGAAAAAGGGATTATTAAAAAATATTATTTCTCATAAAAAAATTGTGTTGATCCATACACTTTTCAATAAGTTATAGCATTATAAAGTTAAAAATGTAAATTATAAAATTGAGAATTTTCACACAAAAATTGAATTCAGTAGTCATTTTTACCGTGAAGACAAAATAAAGTCCGAAAATTTTTTTTTTTTCAAATTAATGTACATTATATTAGCTATAATTTAAGATATATATAAAAGTGTCAGCCCTTCCGGAACATTTTCAAAAGTTATGTTGAAAAAGTTAATTTTTTGTGAAAAAGTTGTCATTTTAAATCCCCACCTGTGGGCAGAAAAAAGGTCAAATTTACAAAAAATATATACCAAATGATAGGAAAAGACATCAAGCATCTATAAAAAAAAAAATTATATTCATATGTTTATTTTTGAAAAAGTTACGGCAGTTTTTAGTAAAAAAAATTTCGATAATTTCGAAAATTAGCGATTTTTAAATTTGTAATTTTTTTGGAGGTTTCCCACATTTACGAGGAACAAGGGAAATTTTTTCAATTTTGAAGGATAATGTCTTCGACTAGATACGATTTGTTATTTTTTGACGTATCGTTGAAAGAAATCCGTTCGATGAGAGCTGAGAAAAAGTGGTAACAGACACAAAAAATAAAAAAAAAAAATAAAAATAAACACATCATAGTAAAACCAATACCTTCTTAGCTTCGCATCGAAGCTAAAAAGTTAAAAATAGCTAGATCGTTAAAAAACACACAAATTATTCAATTTCAACTCAATCGAATTAAAATTTTAGATTTGACCCTATTATAACTTAAAGTTTACATTAAAAAAAAAACCCAGCACAGGGGGGTCGCGGCACAATGGTGACTGACATAGTTGGATCAAGTATAATGCTTCTAACAGTGATTAAAATCACTATCAAAATAAAACGCTTCGATGCAAATCTTTTGATAGTGTTTAATTTTAAAAAATTAGTGGATTATTCCAAAAGTTACATGATCTGCTAGTTCCTTATTAATATCCTGATTAAGATAAAGCATGTCGAATGAAAAAGGAATTATAAAAAAATATTATTTTTCATAAAAAAATTGTGTTGATCCATACACTTTTCAATAAGTTATAGCATTATAAAGTTAAAAATGTAAAAAACAAAATCGAGAATTTTCACACAAAAATAGCATTCGGTAGCCATTTTCACCATGAAGACAAGTCCATAAGTCAAATTTTTTTTTCCATAATAAAGTACATTTCATTAGCTTTAATTTAAGATATATATAAAAGTGTCAGACTTTCCGGAACATTTTCAAAAGTATTACATTGAAATAGCTATAAAAATGGGAAGATCATAAAAAAAAAAAAATTGTTTTAATCTAAATATAGCATAATGAATTAACCCTGAAAATTTCAGAAAAATATGAGGTGGTCGTACAACCACTTCTGGATGATTTGACATGGATTGACCCTATTATCTTATACGGTAGCTTTTATTAGTTACTGTTAACTAATTTTATTTAAAATTAAAACAAATTAAATTAAATTTTATTCTTTAATACCTCTATGTCTAAATTTCTTATTGCTCTTAAACTTAAATTTTATTTTTAAAAACATAATAATAATATATGACTGTTTTTAACTATTGTATAATGTGGTAACTTTAAAATAGAACAAAAATGTTTAATATTGTTATAGTTAAAATAAAAAAAGTATTACCAGAGTTACTTCATTTTACGGTATCATTTTATTTGTTATTTGTTGTACACATTTAATGATACTTTTAAGACTGCAAACTATGTTATTTTATTGATTAATTTTTTTATAATATAAAGTTATTTTATTCATTTATTAATGTATTGATAGTAACAAATAATAATAGTCATATATTTATTCCCTTATTTATTATAATTATTCAGAATATATTTCATTAAATACAAATAAATTGAAAACAGAATATATCATCGTAATGTGTGTCTCTATAATACTAAATTATAGCTTACTATAATACTTACAATACTTATAATACTTGTTAGTATTATTATACTATAAGCTTACAATACTTCACAAAATTTAATTATTGTATATTTAAATCTGACTACACTTTTCTTATAAACTTTAGGAGAAAATTGTTTAATTTATAAAATTTGATGGGTCGTTAACAATTTTAATCATATATTGAATTACAAACATTTTCATACAAAGAATGCATATGAAACGTGGGCGAAGTATACGTACACCAGTAATAGCTGCATCCCACTTTCATTCTCAAGCAGAAATTTCTGTAATGTACCAACATTGACAACGGGTGCAGTACTGCACCAGTACTGACAACTGACCTATGACTAGCCTGAAATGGCGTAGTAATGAGCGACGTCTTGTCTAATTACTGATCTAGTATTGGTTACTATAGTATTAGTATACAGAGTTAAAAATATTATATGTAATATTTTATATGAATATGCAAATTTGTCATATGTGTATAGCTAATATAATATATTTTACTTTAAAAAAATTATACAAAACAATACCTAGTTTAATACATGTAACGAATAATCTTTAAATAAAATCTAACCCAACAAAAAGTTTTAATGTACTGATTAATTCTCTCCCCTAAAATTATTTTATATCATTTATAGATATATAACAATATTCATATAATAATTCATACATTTTTGGGGGGCACATTTTTCAAATGGAGTTTAAACATGGGGTTAAGAATATCATGTTTACTGCAAAAAACATGTTATGTCTTCTGAGTGATCAATTTATTTATAATTTCTAGTCTTAATATTCAAATAAAAGACTGACGATCTTGGCTCAACCCGTCATTTAAATTAAGCTCTTCATTATTAGTTCACTAAATATTATTATAAACATGTTACGAGAAGAGAAGAATCGGAAGCCGTAAGAATAGTTGTAAAAATGAATGTTGAAGGAAGAATAGTTAGAGGAAGACCAAAAAAGAGATGGAGAGATGTTATTGAATGCGATATGAATACAGCTGATGTGAGCGTAGAGGATGTGGGAGATCGTATCAAGTGGAAGTTTAGGATAAGGGTGGCCGACCCCAAGTAATTAGGAATAAGGCGAGGAAGAAGAAGAAGATGTATACGAAGTTAAATGATAAAAATAAAGTTGAAATTTTAAAACCAGAAAATTACTTTGTATCTTATACCATAAGACTGTGAGAGTGGTATAATGTACAACGTGGTTTTAAACTGTACGTTCAGTAGTATCACCACTAAAACACTAATTGATACAAGTATTGTGCGTTGTCCAATTATGTAGCCAAAAAGAACAGCAGTGATTGGTTTTGTTCTAGAAATATATTTATGAAGCAAACTACGCGCTTATAATTTATTGAGTAATTTACCAAGTCGATTATTATGGTTTATGGATTCAAGACAATTTACTTTCGTTTATTGTGTAACGGTCACTCAAACTAGTATTTTATGTTATTTTTTCCCTTACATCTCATTTGTAAAGGCTAGACTTAAAGTGAAGTAATTATTATTTCGAATAAAATGGATTAAACTAGAAAAATAATTTTTCAAATTTAACTCTTTCTCACATATAATAATTTATATATACTAATATATATTATTGTATTTTCACTATTTGTATTAATTAGTTAGATGCAGACAAAAAGTGTATGAGATTAAGAAATTGTATTATAAGAAAAATAGTTAAATTAGTTAATACCGCTTTGGCTTTAACTCCCACGTGCATTATTATCTTAATATTTTAAGTAATTATTTTTAATTGCAAAGGGGCTTTTATGTCGGCCTGTAACAACAACATGGTTTGCCACTTGTATAACGACTAGCTATAGTAGCAAGGGTCGCCACCACCTAGGCGAGGTGTCACACCTATCAGATATGATTATAGGACTATAGGAATTTAATTTTAAGTTAATTAAAAGTATAATCTAAGTTATGTGTCGTTATATGTATAAATGATAATACCTCGTGGTTTATTAACCACAATTACGTCAACGTAAAACCAAAGTTTCTTCTTTTAGTGGTGTATTGACACAGCTAATAAACAAAGATAAATATTTTGATTTATAAGTGTAAAATGATGACAGTTTAAAGAATTATTATAGATAACAATAAAAGTTTACAATCTGATGAAATTTCATCAGATGAAGTCACTGAATCTTTTGAATTAGATTTGAAATTAAAAAGAAAAATATCCTCACTAAATACAAAAAGTATATTTGACATTAATAACGTAATATTTAAGTTTTACTATGTCATTTCAATAGTACTATTGAGCTTAACAACATTTATTTTTATTTTTAATTATTGTGAAAATAATTATAAAGTCAATATATAGCCACTGATGTTTCTAAAAGTATTTATAGTATAGTAACTTTTTTTTTAAATTTTCTATCATTTTTTTCCTTATTTTAAACATTTTTGTGTAACAGTCTAGAATATTAAAAAAGTAGCAAATCTGCTATTTAAAAATTTTACATATTAGTCATTATATAAATAAATTGTTTAACAATTTGATTTCAGATATTTTAACTAAAAAATCTAAAGTACATCAAGATTTTTCTGGTTCGTCAAAAAGTCAAAAAAAAGTAATATAAATAGTAGCTATATATTATATATAGTAGATACACTTAAGTATTTTTAATTTATTTTATTTTACATGCATACAGCAATGCTAAAACTGATTTAAATATAATGAATAAATTAGTAAGAATTTCTTTTATATTAATACTATGATTATATATATATATATATATATANTTTGGAAATTTGTATAGAAAGTAGAGTTTTTTCAACTTAACTTTTGAAAATCTGTGTCTTTTGAATATATATATATATATATATATGGTAATATAATTTAATATTCTTTATTTCTTAAGAATGTTTTATGATTATGTATGTTAGTAAAGGTGCAGAAATATCTAACAAAAATTGTATCTCGTATTTTGTTTAAAAATGTACTATTGGCATTCAGTACCAGAAGGGTGTGCTAAGGAGTTAAAAATGTAATTTTTCTGGGACACAAACTTATAGTTTTTTAATAAGTATTATCCGTAACATAAGTCTGTTAACAAAATATTGTACTTTGTCTTATTGTTTCTTAGATGTACTAACTTTCAAACTTCCAGAGGTAACAAAATAATAGATATACATCCAACTCAGTCGCTGTTTTCTGTATTAAAATTCTTCTACTCAACAAGCATTTTTCCTAACATTGTTATTGATCCTCCAACATTTTATGTAAGATTGACTATTTAAAAATTTTGAAAAATAAAATATTTATTTTGTTGTTAGAGATAACACGTAGCCTCACTACTTTTGTCACCTTTCCAAATCGTCACCCGGTTACGTGTACATGGAAGTTTAACTGACCAATAACTCTTGTCATGCGCCATGGTGCAAAGTCCAGCATGGCCGACGACAACCCACCGCAAATATACGTGGAAGTCAACATTGTTGCACCTCACAAAACGCGCCGTGTACCGTTCGGTTAACACAGTTCGAATCAAAATCGCGCCATCTAGATTCTCGTCTACAACGTCTCATCACCCATTAAACGGACTCATTTTATTAACACTTATTGTGCGAGATAATTATTCCATATACATAAATAAATTTTTGTTCTGTGTATTATACAGCTCAACGCCAATACTTTTATCTATAAAATCGTGTGTCGCTTACATTATTGTGTTTCGACACACTCCCACATCAATATGCTTTGTATATTACTCAAACAAGCTACTTGTATCAAGTTTGATCAGTCACTAAACTTTTATAACCTCTTTTTTGATCTTTGGGTTAATTGAAAAAAATCTATGATGTTCGTTTTCAAAAAAATTAAGCAAACATGTTGTTAAAACAGGAAAAATGTCATAAAAACAAGCGTTATAAGTCCACTATTAAGAGTTACTAAATCACAACTTATATGAGTTTAGTTCATTTGTTTGTAAAATTAACAGTAATGATCAAACCGATCAGTTAAAACAAATTTTAAAGTTTTTGTTAATTTTGTAAAAGCGCGTACACCAGAATTATTGTTATTATTAGAAAATGAGACCAAACCATAAATAATTTTATGACTTAGAATAGAATATTGCTGCTAAAGTTAGTTATTATACGATTTCCTTTCAATTAAAAAACCTTATAATATTAAATATTTTTAAATTATACTTTTGCTTACTACTATTTTTATAAGAAATCGCAAATACGTTTTGTAGTTAATACGTTTTGAGATAAAAACCTTTTCATTTCATGTAAACAGTCAGAAACCATTTTGAAAATAAAATTTTTGTTTTAGGTAGCTTAAGAACAAAAATTTAAATAATTTCAAAACGATTTTGAGTTAGCCATGTAAAAAAGGTTTAATTATGATTTAGCCTAAAATAACATTATTTAAAACGTTATATTTGAAACAAAAACAGCCTTGTACATTTGTGTATTAACCCTAAATTTCTTTTTGTATTTAAATGGCTTTGAATTATTTTTGATTTTTTATTTTAAAAGCTCAATAGAAACGTATATTATCAATTCATTAAATAATAATCCTAAAATATGAGTTAATATATATTTTTATAGGATTAATACTTAATAATTTATAATAAGCAAGTTATTTAATTCATTTTTTTAAATTTTAGGTGTTTTTTTATAAAAATATATATATATTTCTTATGCTATATTATCACAAAATACCAATCCACTAAAATGGATGCACTGTTGTGCCACCGATAAGACATGAGATTTATCGATTGGCATCGTTCTACCTTAACACCGGACACTACTTGTAAAACCATGTACTTTAATTTTCCGTGGAACTCGAAGAGAGTAACAAGTCAGCTACAAGTGAGTGGTGAAATATATCATGACATCCAGCGACAGTGGAAGTGGCCACGGGTCGGGAGGTTTATCATACCATCGTAACAGTCAACAACAGCATAAAAATCATATCGGGGGCTGCAGTGTACCAGTTATCGTGTCAACAAGGTGCAATATACCCAAGTCACCGTCTCGTGACAAAGATTTGATTGTGACTGGTTTAAAATATGCTTCTGGATCATCATTAACTTCTTTAGCACGAGTCCCTAGTCCTAACCCGGATATGAAAATGTTTACTAAAAGGTAAATATCCTTTTAAAAGTCGTTGAAAAATCTATTTTTCAAATTACAAGCAACATTGGTACTCATTCGTTAAAAAAAATTAAATATTAAAAATTATGAAGCTAAATCTTATTAAATAATAAACATTGGGGTTGAATATATATATTTGTGACTTTCTATTTTTCTTTTAAATGCAATTAACTTTACGAAATTACTGTTTATATCATTGGAATTTCCAAAGTCAACAAAATAATTTTTAACAAAATAAAAATAATATCAACTATTTGCAACTTTTGCTTTCCTTCACGTAAAATAAATATTATATCTGTTTTAGTAAAAAATCTTTTTAATTTAACAAAATTGAAATCCATTAAATTTTAAAAAAAAATGTTTTTATTTTTTTTTACAAAAAAAGTTGTATTTGATTATTTAGACAATTTGAATTGAATAAATTAAAAATTTAACGTTATTTAAATTAGAATTTAGTAGAAATTATACTTAAGTCTATCAATATCTTACAGTAAATAGATTTTGTTTTTTTTTAGCAACAATTTATAACAGTTTTGCTACACAAAACATTTTATGTTTTTAGCTTTGATGCAAAACTGAGAATGTATTAATTTTACTATAATGCGTTTTTTTTTACGTCTGTAGCCACTTTTTCTTAGCTCTCATCAAACCGATTTCTTTCAACCAATCGTTAAAATATCACAATTTGTATCTAGTTTAAATCATTGCCCTTAAAAGTTAAAAAATTCTCCTCATTTCCTGTAAATAGAGAAAATCTCCCAAAAATAATTGTTGACATTTTTTTCATTATTTTCTCTTAAAACTGCCATAACTTTATGAAAAATAACGTACCAAAATAATTTTATAATTAAATAGATACCTTAGGAATTTTCCTTTTATTTAATATCATTTCTTTAATGTTTTGACCTACCCACAAGGAAAATTCAAAATAGTAACTTTTTTACAAAAGTCAGATTTTTCAAATGAACTTTTAAAAATGTTTCGGAAATACTGCGTTCTTTAAACATGTGTTAAATTAAACCTTATGATACGTATTATTCATTAAAAAAAAAAAAATTGTCCCGACGAGATAAGTCGTCTATGTGCAAATATTCTTTATATTTCCACTTCCTTTTATACAGGGGACGTTCAAAACTTTAAAATTCGTATTAAAAATAGAACTTTTTCAACTTGACTTATGAAAATGTTCTGGTAATACTGTGTTTTTTAAATACATTTTAAATTAAAACTTATATTACGTACTATAAGTTAAAAAAAAAAAAATATCCCGAAGACTTATTCTCTATGTACAAGCGCAGTCGAAGTTGATAAAAAAAATAGGAATTAATATTGCTTTTGAAATAATCCATGAATTTCTTAAAATTAAACACTACCTACAGATTTGAATCGATGCGTTTCTTATGATAGATATTTAATAACTATCAGATATCTTATATTTGTCCCAACTATGCCACGTCCAAACTGTGACATAACCCCACTGTGCTACCATTTTTTTTTATAAAAATTCATTCTATTTAAATATAATTTATTTGTAATCTCGATAGATATAAACTCTTCAATGGAACTAAGTCTACAAACTTAACAACGGAAATAGTGATCTCAATTAAATTAATAATTCCGTTTGTTTCTGATTTTAAAAAATTTACAAAAACAAAGAATTTATATAAACATTTGTCGGATAAACGCTCGATCAACTGATAATGATTAATAAAACGAGTTATAACACTTCTGGTACTTTACACCTCCCCTAAAAATATGAGATTCGTTATTTAGAATAAGTCCCATAAAAATCATTAAATATGTAACCCTATTTGCACATTTATATTTATTTATTTCATTTTGATGTGGTAAATCGTTTTATAATATTTATTGTATTGTTTTTTACACATAAATAGAATGTATTAGGCGTTAAAATAAATATGAAAGAAGATGTTTGAAAATGACACAATATTGCATATTTTTTTTTCTATCAAATATTTGTGTTCATGATATAAAATGAATTTTGTTGTTCTATTAAAATTTATTAAGTTAAATACAGCTTGTTTATAGTCTTTAAATTCGCATACTTCTTATTTGTACATAATATTTAATCAAGTTAATTTATTTTGTATCTACGTTATAATAAGCAAAGTTAAATAAACAGTATGCTAAAAATATTTTTGGTACTCGGACATCTTAGGAAACTATTTTTTGCTTCGATGCGAAACTGAGAAGGTATTAATTTTACTATGATAAGTTTTTTTTTTTGTGTCTGTTACCACTTTTTTCACCGCCGAACCGACTTCTTTTAACAATACGTCAAAAGATCAAAAATCGTATCTAGTCAAAGAAATTACCCTCAAAAATTGAAAAAAAATTCCTTCATTCCCCGTAAATGAGGGAAATCTCTAAAAAAATTACAAATTTCAAAATCGCAAATTTTTGAAATTTTATTAACTTTTTTACTTAAAAATGCAATAACATTTCTTTTTATAGATGCATGTCTTTACCTAACAATTGGTATATTATTTTTATAAATCTAACCCTTTATGTGTCCACAGGGGGGGATTTAAAATGAAGAATTTTTCAAAAAAATTAACTTTATCAACTTAACTTTTGAAAATATTCCGGAAGGTCTGACACTTTTATATATATCTTAAATTAAAGCTAATGTAATATACTTAATTATAAAAAAAAAAAATTTTCTACTTTATTTTGTCTTCACTGTGAAAATGACTACTAAATGCTATTTTTGTGTGAAAATACTCGATTTTATTTTATACATTTTTAACTTTATAATGCTATAACTTATTGAAAAGTGTATGGATCAACACAATTTTTTTATGAAAAATAGTATTTTTTAATAATCCCTTTATCATTCGAAATACTTTATCTTATTTAGAACTTTAACCATTTCATTTGAACTTTTTCAAATTAACTTTTGAAAGTTTTCGTAAATACTGACAATTTCATATATATATTAAATTAAAGCTAATATTATATAATTTTATATTAAAAAAAAAATGTCTGACTGTATTTTGTCTTCACGGTGAAAACGGATATCAAAGTTAAAAAAAAAATATGATTTTGTAAAAAAAATTTTTTTTATATTTTTAACTTTTAAAGCTATAACTTTTTGAAAAATGTATGGATCATTATATTTTTTTAAGATAAGTACTATTTATATTTATATATTATTAATAAATATATTTATTCATTTATTCATATTTTACACTTATAAATCATAAAACTTGTAATCAGAATATAATTAAGGAAATAGGGAATGATGTAGATTTTGGAATAATACATTCATTTTTAGCTTCGATGCGAAGCTGAGAAGGTATTGGTTTTACTAAGATGTGTTTTTTTTTTTTGTGTCTGTTACCACTTTTTCTCAGCTCTCACCGAACCGATTTCTTTCAATGATACGTCAAAAGATCACAAATCGTATAAATGATAGGTAAAGACATCATGCATCTACAAAAAAAAGAATTATATTGATCCATAGATCTTTCAAAAAGCTATAGCATTATAAAGTTAAAAATATAAAAAAGAATTTTTTTACAAAAATCATATTTTTTTTATTAACTTTGATGTCTGTTTCACCGTGAAGATAAGATAAAGTCCGAAATTTTTTTTTTTTCATGATAAAGCATATTACATTAGCTTTAATTTAAGATATATATAAAAGTGTCAGACCTTCCGGAACATTTTCAAAATTTAAGTTAAAAAAATTAATTTTTTGTGAAAAAGTTGTCATTTTAAATCCCCCTTGTGGGCAGGTTAAGGGTTAAATTTATGAAAAAATATACCAAATGAAAGGTAATGATATTATGCATCTATATAAAAAAAAATTATATCGATATGTTCATTTTTGAAAATGTTATGGCACTTTTAAGTAAAAAAAATTGAAAAAATTAGCAATTTTTAAATTTGTAATATTTTTGGAGGTTTCCCCCATTTACGGGGAACGAGGGAAATTTTTCAATTTTGAAGGGTAATGTCTTCGACTAGATACGATTTGTGATCTTTTGACGTATCATTGAAAGAAATCGGTTCGGTGAGAGCTGAGAAAAAGTGGTAACAGACACAAAAAAAAAA